CTTACCAACTAAAAAACCCAGGTTACTCTCCTCATCCAATTTGATACCTGGTCATATGGGTGAATAGCTGGTTGAGGAGAAAACCTAGGTTAGCAGCCCTACAAACAAACTATACCCATTAAAAATAGAGTGGGGCTAGAAGAGATGGTTCAGTGGTTATAAGCAGCTGTTCTTGCAGAGAACTGAGGTTCAGTTCTCAGCACCCACATGATTTACAACTGAATTTAATTCGTTAGAGAGGATCCAATAGTCTTCTTGCTCTGCATGCACCAGGCACACACATGGCACATACACATATGTGCAAGCAAAACATGCATAAATCTTTTTTTAAAAAGTAAGCTGAGCTGGGCGGTGGTGGCGCACGCCTTTAATCCCAGCACTTGGGAGGCAGAGGCAGGCGGATCTCTGTGAATTCGAGGCCAGCCTGGTCTACAAGAGCTAGTGCCAGGACAGGCTCCAAAGCTACAGAGAAACCCTGTCTCAAAAAACTAAAAAAAAAAAAAAGTAAGCTGAGGGGTGAACCATTAGGGATTTTTTTGAGAGAGGGTATTACTTGTGATCCTCTTGCCTCCAACTCCCCAGTGCCAAGATTACACACATACCAATAACCCAGCTGTTCTTGGTTTGTTTTCTGAAATAGTATTGCTCTGTAATGCAGGCTGATCTGGTATATACGGGCTTTGAGTTCACAGCAATCCTCCTGCCTTGGCCTATCTAGTGTTAGGACAAATGGCAAGTGCTATCATGCCCAGCTATGCTCTAATTATAAGCAGCTCCAACATTAAGTTTAAAATGTCCCAACAATGGGTGCTAAGATGATGGTTCAGTGCTGCGGAATAATCCTTTTGTACATTGTGAAGATTTGGTTTAATAAAAAAGCTGACCAACAGCTGAACAGGATAAAGATAGGCAGAAAAGCCAAATTGAGAACTTTAGGAAGGGCGGAGTCTGGAGTCACAAGCCAGATGCAGAGGAGATGAACATGACATGCTAATAAAGGTACCACCACATGGCAGAGCGTAAATAAGGAATATGGATTAACTTAAAATGTAAGAGCTAGTTAGTATTAGTAATAAGCCTGAGCTTTTGGCGGAGCATTTATAATTAATATAAGCCTCAGTGTGTTTGAGCTGTTGCAGGACAGAAAAATACCTACAGTTAAGTGGGTAGAAGTACCTGCCATTAAGTCTGATGACCTGAGTTCAATCCTTGGAACCTACATGTTAACAGACAACTCCCCCAAATCATCTTGATCTTCATAGGTGTATAACATTAACAGGTAAAAAAATCAAAAATCCTAGTGAGCTTGGTATGGTAGCAGCCTAGGCTATAATAGGAAATATACCCTTTTTAAAAGACCGAAAGAAAAAGGTTGCAGTGACCCACACGAGGCAATGGGTTTGATTGCTGCTGCCAGCAGCAGCATGTTAACACTAAGCCTCGTCAGTTCAGTCAGTACACTGCAATGCTGTTGCAATGTTTTTTATAACTTCCATCCTTCAAATGCACAGGGAAAATGAAAATTTTTCTTCTTAGGTAATAATTATTTGTACATAAACTTAATGGCTTTCATAAATGGAACCTTTCATTTAACCTCAAATAGACAATTGATCCTTCTACCCTAATGGCTCCAGATGTTAGTATAAGAGGGATAGAGACGGGAGGCAGAGGCAGGCGGATCTCTGTGAGTTTGAGACCAGCCTGGTCTACAAGAGCTAGTTCCAGGACAGGCTCCAAAACCAGAGAAACCCTGTCTCAAAAAAAAAAAAAAAAAAAAAAAAAAAAGAGGGATAGAGAGATGGTTCAGTGGTTACAAGTACTTGCTCACTTGCTGCTCTTGCAGAGGACCAGGATTCAGTCCCAGTATCCCCATGGCAGCTAGACCCATGGGTTAATTCCAGTTCCAGAGGCTCCAATGTCCTCTAATAGCCTCCAAAGGCATTGCACACACGTGGTGGGTGGATTTAGATGCAGGCAAAACACTCACACACATAAAATTTCAAATAATAATGTTTCTCTAAGCAAACACTAGGTAGACAAATCCATGCATAGATGGGTCCCATTATAGAAAAGGGCACAGCAGCCATGCAAAGAAGCTATCCTTGGTTGTATCGAGTACAACTTGGTAACTAAGCACGAAAATGAAGGGACTGATGAGATGGCTCAGCACTTCATCTAAGTGTGACAATCTGGGTTTGATCCTTGAAACCTGCATAAAGGTAGGTAAAGACTTCACAAAGTTGTTCTCCAACTTCCACGTGACCTCCCCTCCCCATCTGCATGAACACTTGATTCCCTGTGCACCTTTGTGCATACACCAAAATTTAAAATGGGTGAATAAGCTGGGGGTGGTGACAAACACGTATAACCAAAACATTTTGGGATTTAAGGCAGGATGATCAAGCCTAGGCTACAATGAGATTCTATCTCAAAATAAACATTAAAAAAATACATTATTAAACACCCCCAGGATCACTCCAGTCAGTGCAGCCACAGGAGATAGGAAAATTCAATCCAAATGGTCATTTATTCTAAAACTGGAACTACTGTGCCTACATTTGTTGCCAGAATGATGTAATGAGAACAGGGAAGAGTTACAGATGTAAACAATGACACAGTTACATTTTTTTTTTAAATGGTAAAACCCTTTTTTTCTTTTTTTACTGGCCACTTCCAAGAATGCTTTACAGGTTGTGCAAAAACATTTACAGGCTCCATGTGGTGTTTGTTTTTCTCACAAGCTTTTCCATCTACAACTACAACAGAAGTCTGATAAAACACTAAACAAGTCTTCTAAGGGAAACAAAGCCAGGTTCCCTCCTGTTACCATAATCCACCCCCCCACCATAACATTTCTTTTCATAATAAAAACACGAGACAGAAACAAAATGCAGACATTCACTTTGATGCAAGAGACCTCCTGGACAGACCCAACAAGGATGTGGCAGCTTTATTCTCCATTCAGTTAGAAAAACAGCTTTTTAAAAAGAAGACTTTTCTATTATCAAATTAATAATAAGTATACTCTCTAACCCGTTGCTCCAAACTTCAGTGTTAAGTTTATGCCCCCATCTGTGGGGTCCAACCATCCACAATCCATGTCACAGACTACTATAAAAGTGTTATTTGTTGGAGGACTGAACATCTGAACGGTCAGCTTCTGCCTCTGGAAACTAAGTTTTCTTTTATAACATAATCTTTTCCTAAGGGGATTTCTTTGGGCTCCAGTTTTTACCTTTTTGCCCTGACATTATAAACAAAGCTTTCTCAAATTCCCTTATTGATGCCAGTGAGTTACAAAGATACATGCAGTCATTCCACCCACTGTAACACACAAATCCATTTGTGGCACCATAAGGGACAGGTGCGATAGAAAAGACACAACATAAGCAAGCTATCTCCTTCCAGGCCTGAAATGACCTTTGGAAAGAGGTCCTTGAATAGAAGGTTGAGTCCTAACAGACCAGAGAGTCAGAATAAGGGTCTGAACACCCAGAGAAGAACTGCACAGAAAGGACATCAGGACAGGGAAGATCCAAATCTCAGCACAAGTTTAAACAAGAGAACTAAATGCTCAGGTGAGGAAGTGGATGTGAAATATGTTCTAGTAGCACAGCCCAGAGGTTTCTCTCACCAGGAAGTACTGTAGGATGCTGCTGCTGAGTAAGCTTTAGCTAAGCAGGATGATTTAAATTGAAGCTCAGTATTAAAAGAGCATTGCCACATATCCTGCCCATATTTTTGAACCCAGCAACCTGTAGTTGTTCTGTCAAGAACTGGGAGGGTGTTGGTAAAGTTACAAATTTAATGATCCCAAATGAAGTCTCTCTATGAAAGGCCTCTCTGGGGCTCACAAGGAAACACCCCAGAAGGAATCCTGTTTCAGTTAAGTTGGGAAAAGTGCTCCCCTGCAGGCACCCATACACACATTCACACAGTCTTCCCAAGTTTCTGCAGCCCTACTGAGCTGCCCCCCCTTTTCTACTCACTCTCATCTGTGTATCAAAACAAAAACAAAAACAAAAACAGCAGCAGGGCAGCGTCCCCCACTGTATAAAATACTTGCTATTCTCAGCACCTGGGCCTGACAGCCCACACCACAGATTTACTATATATATATCCTGACGCAGTGAACATCGTCTTGCTGCGTTTCTGTGAGCGGACACCCTGAGAATCATTCCTTCCCTCACACTAAAAGAGGCCGGCAATCTTAGCAAATGATCTAGAGATCTCGTGCCTCTATCAACTGAGAAGACAAAGAGTCTAGGGCCTGGCAAATCACCATCTTTAGACTGAGGGCTATGTTCCCACTCTCCTCCAGACTTTATGGGAATTCATTGCATAAAACATTGGATGGGGAAAAAAACTATTCTGATCTGTAGTCCCCAACAGTCCCCACGGCCTGGGAATCCTATATAATAGAACCACCCAAGTAGCAGTCTCTGTGCCTTAGGCAGACAGTACAAAGGCACAACAAAGTGGACAGTGGGACATTTGGGCCTCCCAGCCTAACAGATCAGATATCCCAAGAGAGAAGGGTTGGTAATGAAAATACAAACGGTTAACTGGTGCAAGTGACTGATAGAGCCAATCATTTATTTTCACTGCCCTGGTCACAGGCGCTCCCTCCCTCTGCCCCCAATCCTGCCTCCTCTATCCGTACTCCTGCCTGCTATGCAGAGTTCCCTCAAGGTGTTCCCTTCTCCCCACACCACTCTCCTTGCTGGGCTACTATTCCAGTTGCCTTAGAGTGCTGGAGGGTGTCATTTTTAGTTCTTTTCCTATCCAGCTGCAGGGTACAGAACAGGCAGCCCTAAGTGCTGCTTTCTGTGCAAATGTTTTTTGATTACAAATAACCTAACTAGGTTTGAAATGTTTTATAGAATAAGACAATATTCTTTTCAACAAACTTTAAAAAAAAAATGTACAGTTTTGTTTTGCTTCCACTTCCCCCCTCCCCCACCCCTGCTTGCATACCCTCCCCCCATCCACCCCTCCCCGGCAGCTCAGCCCCACCCCAACAGCCCCTGTTTTCCTTGGTTGTGTTTTGGGGGATGCTTGGCATCCCCAGAGCTTCAGCTTCATGGCTGACAGGTGAAAACAGCAGGGGCTTCACCGATACCCTTGGTAACCGTAGTAGTTCCTGTAGTATCGGTCTCTGTCCTGTTGGTGGTGATAGTAGTAATTCTGCCACTAGAAGAGAGGGAAACCCCATCACTTAGAGCCAGAGCTGGCTGAGGATGAAGAGGCATGACATTCATCCAGCTGGTCCTTTCCCCTTCACCCTCAATCTATGCCAAGATAATACTCACATCCCGGTTGTATTGTCTGTAATAGTCTCTGTATCTGTTGTACTCATAGTCTTGTCTGTAGAATCGATCATAGTCACCCCGGTATCGATCATAGAAATTACGGTAGCCCTGAGGAAGGAGAAACAAGAGTGGTGGTGACACATGGGTCTCCAGAAGCACAACCCACAGTTACCCATCATTGAACAAGACATTATTTCATCTTGATACTAGAAGCAGGGTAAATTTTTTCCCCAGGTTAAATTCTTCCAGATGAACATATTAAGTGGGCAAAACCCTAAAGACCTAAGAAAACAGCCCAAACCCCTCTGCTCCCCCAAGTCAATAGGAATGGCTTCACAGCCCAGAGGGAGGAGCAGAAGGAGAGCTGCACTCACCCCTCTGTTTCCAGACTGCCCCCAGTACTGCTGCCCGTAGGCCCGGTTGTCGTAGCCTCGGCGCTGCCCGCCCACTGGAAGAGAAATGGAGAGGGCGCTCAGACAGCTGGCATGGGGTCCTGGCTCCACATCTGAGTGGAAATCAAAAAGTTGGAGCCCAAGGCAATTCTATGGGAGGAGGAGGCTTGCTCTGGCCAGGCTCACACAATGTTAAGTAAAGCACCAGCCAGGATCTTTTATTAAAAGAGTCTGAGAGGGGAGGGCAGAAGAATAGACACAAGATAACAAAGCCACCCTGCTTTTGAAGCTCCCCAACCCTACAAAATATTTTAGATGACAAAAGGATGCACGGCAGAGTTACAGACATGAATAAAAACTGCCATTCACCAATCAGATTCTCAGCCCAAAAAGGGATCTGAGGTATCAGGTAACCTATACCCTTCACTTACTGCACACAAAGAAAACAAAATCTAGTCAGGCAGTGGTGGTGCACGCCTTTAATCCCAGCACTCAGGAGGCAGAGGCAGGCGGATCTCTGAGTTCAAGGCCAGCCTGATCTACAAGAGCTAGTTCCAGGAAAGGTTCCAAAGCTACAGAAAAACCCTGTCTCAAAAAACCTATCCTCCCACAAAACAAAACAAAACAATCTACACAATACTCAATACTCAAGGCTAGAACTGTTGTTATTCCTGGTGTCTGAGAAATATTTAACACTAACTACCTGTTGATTTACATACAATTGTATACTCATACACACTTTTTTTTTGCCCTTTTTTTCGAGACAGCATTTCTCTGTTGCTTTGAAGCCTACCCTAGGACTAGCTCTTGTAGACCAGGCTGGCCTCGAACTCAGAGATCTGTCTCTGCCTTCTGAGTGCAGGATTAAAGGCATGCACCATCACCGCCTGGCTTAAATACACCCTGGGGATTTAGCTGGCAACCTAGACATTCAGAGGAAAAATTAATTCCACTAATAACTAACTTACTTTGTAACGCTTTAAAAGGATGGAAGAAATACTTTTTTGTCTGTGCAATTGGGTTGATTTCATAAAACACCAAGAAATCTTAAGGGGAGAACTGGCTTTCACTGCACACATCCTAAGACTGCAGTGAAGTCTGGAACCCACTTGCTCACACAGAAGCTAGACAGATGATGAAGCACAGGACTGTGTTTCAAGGAAACATATTTTTTGCCCCACAGTAACTCCCTTCTGGTTGAAGGATTATGGGGAATGCATAGGAAGCAAGTGCTAAAGACAAGAAGAAATAAGCTTCATTAGGAAAGTTGCTCATTGTGGGCGGCCAAGTCTCCAGGACTCACCATAGCCTTGGCCTCTGCTTCGGTTCTGCCGGTTTCTCTTGTTGCGATTGTTCCTGCGGTTTGTCCGCTTCTCAGAGGGGGGCAGCAGCTTCCTTGCTTCCTCCTTGTATTTAGTAACAATGGGTTGGGCTTCTTCTTTTTCCAGCTCCCCATATGTCACCTCATCCATATAATCGCATTTCTCAGGTAGAGAGAAGTTGGCTATAAGAATAAGAGAGAAGCTTGTGGGCCTAGAAAGTATAGACAAGGTAAGAATGCATGAAAATCTACTACAGGAAGTATACTTTAGTTTTTGGTGGCTCTGAGGATCAAATCCAGGGTTTTGCAAATGTTAATCAAGTGTTCTGTCACTGAGCTATATATCCAAGGGTTTTTATTTTGATTGCTTTGTTTTTCCCATTTTTTGAGACTTTCTCTGTCCCACTAGCCAGCCCCCAAATCACAACACAGAGACTTATTACTAATTAGGAACTTTGGCTGATAGCTTAGGCTTGTTTTTTAGCTGCACTTTTAACTTACTCCATTTCTATCAATGATCTATGTGCCGCCACATGCTTGTTTATTTCCTCATCTACATACTGTCTACACTGCTTTCCTCCTTCTGTTGTCTCTTCAGACTTCACATTTCCATAGGATCCAAATTAACTTCTGCATAACCTCGGGGCTATCTATCAGATATCTGGTGGTCATTCTCATATGATAACTGGATAAATTAAGGTTGTTTTTTTTAAATAACCTTAGGCCACTCCTCTTCAATTTCATAATGCAATGGTATGGTAGGTTCTGCTTTAGTTCTATAGCCCAGGCTAACCTCAAGTACCTTAGGCTCTTGAGTGCTGGAATTACAGTTGAGTCAACACTCAGTTTGCTATTTATTGAGGCAGGAGCTCTCTACAGAGCCCTGGTTGTCCTGGAACTCACTATGTAGACCAGACTGGCTTTGAACTCAGAAATCTACCTGTCTCTGATGGGACCATGCCCAGTTTTGCTGTTAATAGTATATGTCTAAGTGAGTATGTGTTAGTGCAAAAAGGCTAGTGTAGGATGTCAGGTATTGTCTACCATACTTTACTCCTTTGTAGACATGGTCCCTCTCAAAATCTAGAGACTCACCATCCTGTTGCCACCCTGCTCAGTGGTGAGATTTGGGAGTATACAGAGTACCTGACTTGTTATGTGGGTGCTGGGATCAAAACTTCAGGCTTCATGCTATGCAGCTAAGTCTTTAAGGACTGCATCATCTAGCTCTTGTTGGTTTTTTTACACATAGGGTCTCATGTATCCCAAGCTGATCTGAATCTTCCTGATTCTTGGCTTCTGAAAACTGGGATTATAATTATAGTTGTTGCTACTGCACTTAGCTTCTCTTTTTATTTTACTTTTTTCTCCTTTGAGATTGTTTTGTTATAAAGCTCAGACTGGACTTCAGCTTGCTATACAGTCTGTGCAAGTTTCAAACTGAAGATTTTGCCTTACTGTCCCAAGTGGTAGAATATAGGTCTGAACACAACAGCAAGACAAGCCTAATACTTTCAAAGTTTAACTTAGTAACACACTAAAATGTACTAGGCTCATACCAATTCATCCTTAGATAACAAAACTAACTTCTTTTTGGAGACATGGTCTCATGTATAGCACAGGCAGACCTGGAACTCCCTTATATAATTGAGGATGACCTTGATTTTCTTGCTTCCAATCTCTTTTTTTGGGGGGAGGGCCCTCAAGATACGGTTTCTCTGTATAACAGCCCTAGTTGCCCTGGAACTAGCTCTGTAGACCAGGATGGCCTTCAACTCACAGAGATCTACCTGACTCTGCCTCTGGAGTGCTGGAATTTAAAGGTGTGCACCACCACCACCTGGCTGCTTCCAATCTCTTAAAATCCGAGATTAGAGTCAAGTGCCACCATGGCTTTTTTCTTTTTAAAGATGGTGTCTGTCTATATATTCCAGAATGACCTAGAACTCAAAGCAATCTTTTTGCTTTAGTCTTCTGAGTGCAAGACTTGTGGTACATACCTAAGGCAAATCTTTTCCCTAAATTGAATAGTATATGAAGACAAAGGGCTTTATGCCAGATAGGTTTACAAATTCTTTTCTTTATATTTATTTGTTTATTTATTTATTATGTATACAATATTCTGTCTGTGTGCAGGCCAGAAGAGGGCACCAGATCTCATTACAGATGGTTGTGAGCTACCATGTGGTTGCTGGGAATTGAACTCAGGACCTTTGGAAGTCGAGACAATGCTCTTAACCACTGAGCCATCTCTCCAGCCCAGGTTAACAAATTCTTAAGTGATCCAAAATACATCAAGACAGAAGGAACACAGGCTAACCCTGTAACTGAACACGTTTTGGTGTTGCTTAGATTAAAAACTTGGTCTCAGGAATTGGAAAGCTAATCCAGTAGTTAAAAGCATCTCACTGCCCTTTGCAGGTCCTGGATTCAGTTCCCAGCACCCACAGAGGTACTCAAAACTGTCTTGTCTCTAACTGTAGTAGTTCAGTTTTGACCTCCAAGGGCACCATTCATATATAGGCAAAACATTCACAGAAATAAAACAAGCCGGGCGATGGTGGCGCACGCCTTTAATCCCAGCACTCGGGAGGCAGAGGCAGGCGGATCTCTGTGAGTTCAAGACCAGCCTGGTCTACAGACCTAGTTCCAGGACAGGCCCCAAAGCCACAGCGAAACCCTGTCTTGAAAAAACCAAAAAGAACTTGGTCTCATTATGTAACCTGCCTAGTCTGTAACTTGTTTAGACCAATCTGGTCACAAATTCAGAGACCCACCTGTATCTGATCTGCTGGGATTAAAGGCATGTACCACCATGCCTGGTCAAGAAGTAACATTTTCAGAACTTCAAGATGGGACTGAGGGTATAGGTGAGGGGCACTGCACTTGCCTAACATGTAGAAAGGCCCTGAGTTTCAATTCCCAGTAGACCCTAACACATACACACACATGCACACTCACGTGCGCACGCTAAAAGTATCATCTCTAATAACACACACGCACTGACAGCAAGGTCGGTCACTGAACAGTTAGTTATACATGATAGCCAGACACATCTATCATTCTATGAACATCAAGTTCATAGACTGTGTCCCAGTGAGTTTTACTTCAATTATGATTCTCAGATGAATCCAGTTATCCCTATTTTACAAAACAGCATCAAATTCCTCCAAGTGCCTGAGTATTTGCTATGGGCTTGCATAATTCATTCTGTATAAATTCAGACACTACAGCCCACAGATGTGAGAAGTGATTCCCACAACCAGGGGTTATGGAGAGTTTCCAGAGCCAGCAGCTGAGAGGGTGAGTGGGAAGCCATGAGTGAAAGGAAACATGATGAAGAATATGATCTGAGGGAACACCATAAAACAAGACCAATCAACATAGCTAACACTGCCTTGAGATGACTGTATACTTAGGCAAATAACAAATCAAAAAATAAGCAAAAAGGAAAACAAAACATAAAACTATTATTGTAACAGAAATCAACATATGGTACAGACAATTTTCTACAATTACTGTGTTTTCATTTAAATGTTAACAATCATTCTTGCCATTTTTGTGGAATATAAATATTAATTTAAAATAGTATTTATTACTGTGAAGTTTCATTTCATATGCTGATATTTTTCTACAACTAGGGAAATGATGGACAAACAGTATACACTATAAATACCTATTTAATAGGTAACTGACTCAATCCCCTTCCCTTTACATCTAAGTATCTTGTTTGGATTTAAACATCTTATTTCTCATACTTCTTTTTTATTTTATTTGGTTTTTTTTCAAGACAGGGTTTCTCTGTGTAACAGTCCTAGCTGTCCTGGAGCTAGTTCTTGTTGACCAGGCTGGCCTCAAACTCACAGAGATCTGTCTGCCTCTGCCTCTGGAGTGCTGGGGTCTGAGGTGTGCACCACCACTGCCCAGCTCGTTCTTCCATTTGAGACAGCATCATTAGCTCAGACTAGCCTCCAACTTCTTATCCTCCCTGCTTTCAATTTCCAGATGCTGAGATTATAAGCAATCACCACCCTGCTTTTTTCCTCCCAACCAAGACAAGGTCCTGTTATGTAATCCAGGCTAGTCTAATTCATGATCTTCTTTCCTGACCATCTCAAGTGCTGGGATTACAAACATGTGCTACCTACTATGCCCAGACATTACCCTTTTGTATTTTAGCCACAAGTCAAGGGGTCTATTGTCAAGCACTTGCCTCCATTAAATTGTTTTTAAATTTATACTTTAGATGTAGAGAGTCACTCTTGGTGCTACGAGGTTCCAGTGGGGTTGTACTAACCAGGGACAAGATTCTCTAATCTATGCAATTTTAGCCCACCTTTCATCTCCAGCATTATAGACTCAGGCACATCATCTCCCTCCACTTCTTTTCTCAACTCCAGCCTCTTCTTCCAATCTTCCTCATTAGGGACAACCACCACCACTTTCCTGGCGAAGGTCTTGAACAGCAATAACTTCCTTCGTTGGCCAGAGTTGTACACATTACACTAGCAATGAGAGTAATAACATGTTTTAAGAACAAAAATCACCACTAAACTTACAGCTGAAGCATCAGATTAGAAGTCAATACACAATTTTCTTTAATAATCACTATTATTACTATTGTTTGTAGTAATCTGGATCAAACCTAGGGCTCTGTACATGCTAGAAAACTGCTCTATCACTGTGCTATAACCCCAGTCTCCTCTGACTTTTCTTTTTCTTAGACAGAGCTTCTTTGTGTTGTCCTAGCTGTCCTGGAACTAGCTCTGTAGATCAGGTTGGTCTTGAACCATAGAGATCTGCCTGACTGTGTCTCCTGAGTACTGGGATTAAATGCATGTACCACCACTGCCTGGCTTCTCCTTTGATTTTTGAGACTCTACTTGATAAATATTTCACATCAGGAAAACTAAAGTTAGAGAGGTAAAAGACTTGTTCAGGATCACAAATGTAAGTAGGTCAAGATATTGACTAAATAAAAGAAATAAATAAATGGGGCTGGAGAGCTGGCTCAGAGGTTAAGAGTATTGCCTGCTCTTCCAAAGGTCCTGAGTTCAATTCCCGGCAACCACATGGTGGCTCACAACCATCTGTAATGAGGTCTTGTGCCCTCTTCTGGCCTGCAGACATACACACAGACAGAATATTGTATTCATAATAAATAAATAAATAAATGAACCCAGATCTCCTATTCCTCTATCATCTAGCTCATACTCTCAGGATAATAGTATGATGAGTTCAAGTACATTACGTAAGTAACTCAGCGCAGACAAACCTGAGTCTATTTCTTAATTCTTAATTCAGTCCTACGTGTGTATCCCAGTTTCACTCTTTTAAAAAGTCGCAAAATTTTATCTCTGAACCTCCTTTAAAAAGGTTCCTCTTGAATGTTTGAATACCTGATCAAGAATGAAGTTCCTCTTTGATCGGGAAGCAATCTGGACTAGCTTACTAAGGCACTGGGAAGCTTGCTGAACTAAGAGGTCTCGGCTCTTGGGGTCCATCTCTGGCTCTTCCAGCCCCTTCATCTGATAAGTGCAAGAAAACAGGAGTAAGATAAGGGGTTACACAGCAAGTTCAAGATCCCCAAAGTCACCTGTTTTAAATGCTACATGGATAAGACCAACTCATCACACTACTAATTTCCTATAGTAATTACTTCCATTCTTAATCCGTACATACTCCAGATTGTACATTTTCAGAGACTTGACAATCCAGCAGGTATGGAGCATATTTTAACACATGACAGAAAGTTACATTTTTACATGTGTAGCCCTTGTTCTCACACACTTCAAAGACATCCTCCATCCCTGACTGAGGACAGGTTTTATCAAAGATTCCCAGAGTCTCCAGAGCAAACATCACTGCCGATTAACCATCCCTCCCCCACCTTTCAGCAACTGACCCTCATTTGATTGAGCACAGTCTCAGCTCCCAGGACATTGTATCTTTTCTCAGGGTTTTCTTTTGCATACTTTAGTGCCCACTTGGTCTTCCCAGATCCAGGGAGTCCTACCATCAGAATCACCTGCAAATAAAAGGAAACTAGGAATGTAATAAAAGAGTCATTTTTTAAAATCCAACTTTCTTTAGAAAATATTCTTATATTTTCCCTATCCAAATTTGACAGTAATTTCGGAATACACCTGAAAGGACACAGCCTTCACTATTCTATTTTTTTTGTTGTTGTTTTGTTTTTTGAGACAGGGTTTCTCTGTAGCTTTGGTGCCTGTCCTGGAACTAGCTCTTGTAGACCAGGCTGGCCTCGAACTCCCAGAGATCCCCCTGCCTCTGCCTTCCAAGTGCTGGGATTAAAGGCGTGCGCCACCAGCCTTCACTATTCTAAAACTATTCTAAAAAGGCTCATACTTCTGCAATTTGGCATACCTCACACTCCTCTATGGTCTTAGGAGGAACTGCAATCCGTACACGCTCCTCAACAGGCACAGCATGGATGAACACAAACTCTTCTGGTGGTGGGAAAAAGGGCTCTTCCTTCTGACCGAAGTTTAATTCTATGACACAATTTTTGCACAGGACATGGGGTAGAAGGGCTCGATCTGCTAGAGATTCCTTGCTGATCCGGAATGCCACACCCAGGTCTTCTCCATTCTTGGAGAAGGAAAGTTCTACTTCTTCAGTCTCAAAATTCTACAGGGACAAAAGCACAAGAGCACTTATAGGTTGGTACAGGTTTTAAGAACAATGACATCTTACAGCTTACTTTTTTTTTCTTCAGTTGGGAGGATGGAGAGATGGGTCAGTGGGTAAAGGCACATGTCACCATGTATGATGACATGACTTTGGTCCTTAGAACCCACATGGTAGGAGAGAACTGTCCTCTGACTTTCACATATACACTCTGATATGCCCCCCAATACATGTAGAAATAAGCAGATAAATACTGGGGTTACTGGACAGCTCAAACAACCAAGCAATGCATAGAATGTATAAGAGCCAGTAGTTGGTAGGAAGCACAGCTGAATCCTCTCAGCCTTTCATCTACTCTTTGCTATAAATCCACAATTTACAGGAACACTTACAGCAAAACAGCCAATGACATCATTCTCCCCAAAAGTCTGGCCAAATTCCTCAAACTGCCCATTCTCTGCCTTGAGTCCTCTTCCATCAAAACCATAAGAGAATTCATCTTCACCTAGGATAGTCAACAATCAATTATCTAGCTGTAAAGTTCCCACAGTGTGAGCAATATGGTAATAAACACAGCAAGAAGTTAAAAAATAACATTACCAAGCTGTGGACAGGAAAAATCAACAGACCACCCAACTCTGAGTAGAGAAACTTCTGTGCAGCCTTCTTTCATTGGGAGATTCTGTGTTACCTGGTCAAGTCAGAAAAGGAATTCTTAGGTACTTTGAGCAATGCAGGTACAAAGTCTGAGTTACAAAGATAAGATTTGTATACAAACTGAAAAGAAAAAAAAAGATCACAGCTAAATATCAGAAAAACAATTTTCACTAAACCTAAACCAAAGACCAAATTTGTAGGTCTGGGTATATAGCTCAGAAATAAAGCACCTGATGATATATGTACATGGCCCTGAGTTCAATCCCCAACACATAAAACAAACAAGAAAACAAAACAAAGTCATAGGGTCAATTTTGTTGCTCAGAGTTAAGGTATGTTAAGTCAGGTGCCTTCTCTGCACTAATAAAGTACTGGCTAGGCGGCCAACACACAGCTGAAATTAATAACTGACTTGAAAGAGCCCTTACCTTGGCCTCGAAGCATACTCTTCCCTTTGTTACTCCATAAGTACTCCTTGCCCCAGACCAAAGGGTAGGAAATTTTTCTGAGAAAAGTGGCTGCCCTCCATATCGGTCTTTGCTTATTTGAAAATGGAGATCCGAGGTATCTGTTAAGAAGGAAAGATACAGGGCTGGAGAGATGGCTTAGAGGTTGAAAGCACTGGCTGTTTTGTTTTTTTTTTTTGTTTTGTTTTGTTTTTTTTGGTTTTTCAAGACAGGGTTTCGCCGGGTAGTGGTGGCGCACGCCTTTAATCCCAGCACTTGGGAGGCAGAGGCAGGCGGATCTCTGTGAGTTCGAGACCAGCCTGGCCTACAAGAGCTAGTTCCAGGACAGGCTCCAAAACCACAGAGAAACCCTGTCTCGAAAAACCAAAAAAAAAAAAAGACAGGGTTTCTCTGTGGCTTTGGAGCCTGTCCTGGAACTAGCTCTTGTAGACCAGGCTGGTCTTGAACTCACAGAGATCCACCTGCCTCTGCCTCCCGAGTGCTGGGATTAAAGGCGTGCACCGCCTGGCTGCACTGGCTGTTTTTTCAGAGGTCCTGAGTTCAATTCCCAGCAACCACAGCAGTGGCTCACGGCCATCTATAATGAGATCTGGAGCCCTCTCCTGGTGTGCACGCAGAACACTCTATACATAGTAAATAAATCTAAATAAAAGAAACATAACACGAAAGATATGCCGGTTTACTACAACACTCAACACTTGACAAGTGCTGAGAGCACCATTATGCCCAATTATCATGAATGGATACAAAAACTGTCCAAATACTCAAGCCATCAAGTTTTACTCTCAAAAGTCAGTTCTAGATCATGCCAGAGACTAAGGCAGGAGGATCACAATTTGGAAAATAACCTGGGATAAATAGCAAGGCCCCACTCTCAAAAAAAAAAACCAACCAACCAAACAAACAAACAAACAAACAAAAAAAAAACAAAGCAGGCGCTGGAGAGATGGCTCAGTGGTTAAGAGCATTGCCTGCTCTTCCAAAGGTCCTGAGTTCAATTCCCGGCAACCACATGGTGGCTCACAACCATCTGTAAAGAGGTCTGGTGCCCTCTTCCGGCCTGCAGGCATACACACAGACAGAATATTGTATATAATAAATAAATAAATATTTTAAAAAAAAAGCAATTTGCTTTATACATACATGTGTCCAGGTTCACAAGAGTCTGATCCTCCTCTTCATCTTTTGCTTCTTCTTCTGGAGGTGGTGGAGACTTCGAGCTACAGGTAGGAGAGGAGAGCAAATGCAATATAACCAAAGCTGCTTTCTTGGAGGTGTTTGTGTGGCACTGTTCATTTTAAAGTATCAGTGAATTATCAAATTCCAGCAGACAGCTTCTTTCAGTCAATGAGAAAAGGAAATAGCTTTCATCATAGATTTATTTACTCTAAAACTTATACCTATAAAGATCTATTCCATTTTTCAATCCACCCCTCCTTCCAGACTGTCCAATCAACGCCAGGAATACCAAAAGCAGAGCAGACATTCCCATCAAGGGAGTGTTTCCCTCACCGGCTGTGGTAAGCCTCCTCTCGGAATTCATAGTAAGCTCGGCCATGTTCATCCTTCTCATCCCGCTGTCTCTTTACCCCCCGCCGCTCACCATCTGAGCCTGCTGGTTTTGACTTTTCACTATCCTGGTCATCTCCTATAAAAGGGAGGGAAAGAAAATCAGCAGTTTTTATACTGGAGCATAGAATAAGCTCAGAACTAAGAGAATCTGAGTTAACCAATATGGGGAAACAGAGGGTATCTGAGTGAAAGTGTTCCTATTATAGCCATATGTTTTATATCCGTATGTTTTATTTCCAGTATCTTTTTATTGATTAAGATGGGGGGGGGCGCTGTGAGCTAAATACAGTCAAGAAATAGAAAAAGTTGGGCAAATTTTCCATTCTAAATGTATCTACTTCATTCAAGCCAACCTGACAGATCTCCCCACTAATAGGATAGAAAAATATCCCTGAAGTCGTTTAAAAACCTTCACAGGTGAATTTCTTCCAGTTCTCATCAGATTTGAATTCACAGCAAGTACTTAATGACTGTTTTCTAACATTTCTCAGCAGGTACATGGCACAGAAGCCTTACAATTTCTTTAAGAGACTGTCTTTTTTGCCTTAAAATGCACAACCACACTATGGCAGCTGTATTTTTTAACAGGAATTTGAACTGAAAGTTACCAGAGCAAATGATTAAGTCACACGTGAACCATAAATAACACTACATCTTGACTGCATGGAATTTGGGGCAGGAAGGTGGTGGTGTACATTTAGTGACATTCTTTTTGTTGTTGTTTTCTAGACAGGGTCTCACTATGTAGCTCTGGCTGTCTTAGAAATCACAATATAGCTGGGAGGCGATGGCATATGCCTTTAATTCCAGCACTCGGGAGGCAGAGGTAGGCGGTTCTCTACGTAAACCAGGCCAGCCTGGTCTACAAGAGCTAGTTCCAGGATAGGCTCAAATAAATAAATAAAATAAAATAAAGGAATAAAGAAAGAAAGAATGAATGAATGAAAGAAAACACTACAGAGAAACCCTGTCTCGGAAAAACCAAAACCAAAACAAACACAAACAAAAAAAAACCACCTCACAGAGATGTGCCAACCTCCGCCTCCCAAGTGCCGGGACTGAAGGTGTGACACTAAGCCCGGCAGCACCACTCTTTACAAGAAGTACACACGGTTTTTCCCCTTAGGCTTTCATGTTTTGAAGGCTTAATAGTCTTTGACAATTCCTCTAAAGTGCTCTCTTACCTGTCAATATCTTATCTGCTATTTGGAATACAAACAAGTCAAGGGTTATATAATAGAGATTTTGTTCCAGAACGTTAGACACAACAACCCCCCCCCCCAAAAAAAAACTATACTCTGTATACAGTCATTGAAAAATAGATTCCAAGTACAGGACAATAACAGCCTTAAAAAAAAGTGCAAAAAACAAACAAAAAAACCTTAGGCAATCCAACTGAAAGTAAGACTGGGAAGCAGCTCTCCTTCCTGACAGACACTATGGACTAGCTCTAACCATGCCAGCATTTCAAAAGAAAGGAGAAAGGTCATTAACTCCTGGGGAAAAGTCGCTACACATATTCTACCACAAGGTTACTCAACTTACCCACTAGAACCCCTCAATCATTCCACCTCAGGAAGTTAGGGACCTTAAAGGCCCCAGTGCGGAAGGATAAGTCTATAAATATGCTCATTTACCGACTCGGAAGGAGAATTAAAATACAACGACAATTGGGAGAAGGGAAAAAGCTCCATTCAAGCAACTAACATGCTACTAAAAGTTACCAGCCTAAGGCTTTCTTTCTCTTTGCTAGTTAATGATTAAACCCAACCGCTCACAGAGACACTGTCTGCCAGCGCTGCAGCAGGAAGGAGCAAGGTTAGCTATCCAGAGGCTCTGTGAGGCGTGTGCTCTAACATGGGTTTGACAGAGCAACACTTCACAGACTGCTCACTGGGTAACGATTTGACGGTAAGAAATTGACTGTCAGCTAGACCGAAGGTCTAAGCTTCTAACGGGTACCTGCAGTCCGCCAATTTCCCAGCAAATTTTCCGCTAAAGGCTGATCCACAGGTAGCTCGAAAGCAGTACACACACACATACACACGCGCGCGCACACCATACCACACACTTCTATCCACTAACACTGAGGAATCGCGTTAGACAGGAACCGTGGAGCCACAACGCACCCAAACCCCCCAAAAGATGGGCAAGTGAAAACCCCGCTCCCAGGGGAATCCCATCACACAGCCGCGGGAATCGTGCGCTTTCGGGCAAGTGGAAACAAGGAATCAGATCGCGCGCTGCGGGGTGGGGTGCTGGATCGGGGACGCACCCGGCAGGTTGGAGCCTTGCTCTGCTGCAAGTTCCTCACCTTGTTCCTCTGTGGCCTTGTCACCCGGTGCCTCGGATCCCGGCGTCTCATCCCCGCTCCGTTCCTCCGGCCCGTCTTCCTCCCCCTTGCCGGTCTCATGCTCTTCACCACCGTTTACCCCACCTGACCCGGCCGTGGCCTCCGCCGGTGTGTCGGAGGATTCGGGTTCGGCCTCCATGGCTGACGCCTCCGGGGGCTCCGGAGGAGGCTGCGCGGCCTGGCCCAAAGCCTGAGCAGGAGGTGGCTCCTCGTCTTCGTCCTCAAGCAGCGCCTCCTCGTCCTCCTCCTCCTCCTCCTCCTCCTCCTCCTCGTCGTCCTCCTCGTCCCCGCCCGGGCCTCCGCCCGACGCGGCCACAGGCCGAGGCTCCGCCTTGCAGGCCCCGCCGGGCCCGGCGCCGCCAACGCCGGCCTCGTCCTCCAGCATCTCAGCATCCAGCGCCTCCTGAAGCCGCTGCGCCAGATCCATCTTGAGGCCGCGCGAATCCAGGCCCCGCCGCTGCAGCTCCGACCGCAGCTCGGTCACTTTCAGCCGCTTCACCTCCATCGCCGCCGCCGCCTCCTCCGCCTCCCGCCGCCTCCTCCCCTGCGAACTGTCGACCGAGCCCGACCGCGCAGGCGCCGCCCGCCTCCGCCTCCCGCGCCAGTACTGAGCCCGCGCTAGTAAGCGCACGCCGGCAGCGGCAGGGGCCGCGCTCTTCCCGCGGCGTGTTTGTGTCGCCTTCTTCTGCCCTGCCCCTTTCGGCTCACGGAGCCCAAAACAAGGCGGCGAGGAGCAGCTTCCAGGGGACTCGACTCTCGACCGCGAGCGAGTGCGCGCCGAGAACGACGGAGTTCCCTCACTTCTGCTCCCTCCCCTCACAGATCCGGGCCAATCAGCGGAGGCGTCCTAACTGCGCAGCCGCAAGGGGGCCTGCGCCGAAAAGGCTGGCTGCGGCTCAAGTGCCTCGCAGCCCGGAAGCGGGAGTGAGCCTCTCTTTCCGTACTTCAGTTGGAGGCTCTGCGCAGTCGCACCAGAGCCCCGCCCACCCTGTCAATACTCTTACTTCCTGATCGCTCCCAATTGCCGAGGCACCCTAGGTCTAGCTTGATGTCCTCGCCTCCTTATTCCTTGACCGCCTCTTCTAAGAGTGATAAACGAAGACAAGCCGAAGGGCTGGCGGGTGCACAGCAGTTGTTCTCGTGCCTCGTAGGCAAAGGGCTTTCCAGTACCAAGGAAAAACGAGCAATGCCCTGGTCTCTTTCTCTGGGCTTAAACTTCTACCCGGCAACAGACGCGCCAACCCCGCCTTCTGCCTCTCTGATTGGCCAGCTTGAATCGTAGTCTGTTGCTCTGATTGGTCGTCTGATATCGTGCGGCCTTTTTTTCCTATTGGAGAAGTAGCCGGGAATTTTTTTTTTTTCCGGGTTGGTCCGCTGGGGAGGCGGGGTCGTTTCTGCGGGATTACTTTTCTGGACTCATTTCTGATTGGGTGATGTGACGCAATGCGCGCGCCCCGTTAGATGCCAAACTGCTAGCAGGCCAGGTCTTTTCCTGTCCGAGCGCCGGCCCTTAAACTGAATCACAGGAGACTTCCGGGCTTGGGCCATTGCGGTAGTGCGGTTGTAGGACTTGCCAGTGCACACGGCCTCTTCTGCCTCGCCAGCGGAACAGGGGCTCAGGCCTCATTCACTTCGCTCCTTCAGTTAACAGCAGAGACATCGACAAATGCTTGTTGAATAAAGAGAAATAAAGAGCTTGGGAAGGAGCGAAACCTTTTTGACCTGTTTCAGTTGTTCCCGCCTACTCCATCTTCTTCCAGGTCAGGGGGTGTGCCTCAGAGAAAGAAGGAAAAGAATTTTGCGGGCTGTCACACACTTCGGATGTTTAGCTGGGCCTTTGAATCTTCCTAGAGTCTATACTCACGCCAGGATCTCTTCTTTTGGAAATCATCATTTGGCCTATGGCTTCACTACCTCCACATTATTCATTTTTTTGCGGAACTTGTGGAAACTGAAAAGGGGGTCAATTGGACTGTAGTCCTATAAAACATCAAAGCTCAAATCCTCCCGAAGGAGAGTAATTTTCTGCTCCTTTGTAGTAGACTTCCCAAAGCAATAATTTTGATCCCAACACCACAGCCTCAGTTGATCCTTCATTTAACAATTCTAACAGTCATGGAGAAGCGCCTGCAAGAGGCTCAGCTATTCAAGGAGGAAGGGAACCAACGCTACCGGGAAGGGAAGTACCGAGATGCTGTGAGTAGGTACCACCGAGCTCTTCTTCAGCTGCGGGGCTTGGATCCAAGTCTGCCTTCCCCGATACCCAGTCTAGGACCTGAGGGCCCAGCTCTCACGCCGGAGCAGGAAAACATACTGCACACCACTCAGATGGACTGCTATAACAACCTAGCTGGTAAGAGCAGGGCTGGAGGGTGGGTAGAACATCAAGACTTGACCATCCAGCAAAGCAGAGGCTGCGCACGCCTTTAATCTCAGTATTCGGGAGGCAGAGGCAGGTGGATCACTGAGTTTGAGGCCAGAGTGGTCTACGGACTGAGTTCCAGGATAGGCAGGGCTACACAGAGAAACCCTGTCTCAAAAAACAAACCTAAACAAACAAAAAAGAGACTATCAAACCCTGTGAACACTGAAAAAAATACATTCTTCTTCGCTGTCATCTGGTTATTCGGCATGAATTGAAACCTGTTTCCAATCAGTAGAGAACTCTTAAGCAGGCAGGATTTTTTACAAACTCTCCAGATGTTTGTAAAAATAGAACCTCTTAGGCCCTAACTCCAGAATCTTTGATCTAGTAGATCTAGGGTGCGACTGCCAATTGATTTATCTGGAGGAATGTTGCTAACTTTAGAATATTTTGCCTACTGTAGAGAAAAAGTGCTTTTGTCTAAAGGAAATTTAACATTTGGGAAACACGTTACTGGCTCTAGATAGTGTAGATCAATTGTGCTTGATAGTATATTTTTTGTAGAAATCAAGGACATTGGATAATTAGTATTTTCCATTTCCCTATGGCTTTGTATGAAGATAGAACAGTTCTGCTAGGAATAACCTTAATTGATAAGAGACCTTTTAGTCTTTTCTATGATAGACAAATCAAGCTTAGAACTAATCAATTTATAGCAGAGTAAGAAATTCTAACAATGTAAACTGAGGCTATGTATTTTATCAGGAGCTGTTATGTTCCCTATTGGTTGCTTTTTTAAAATTGTTTTGATTTTTCTTGAGTCTCAGTTATGTAGCCCAGCCTGGCCTGAAACTCACTTTGTAGACCAAACTGGCTCCAAACTCCTGGCAGTCTTTATGCCTCTGGCTCCCAAGTGCTAAGATTATAGGTGTCAGCTTGTTTATTATCTGGCTGCTTATTTTAAAAATATCTTTGTGGACGGGTGGTGGTGGTGCACACCTGTCATTCCAGCACTCAGGAGGCAGAGGCAGGAGGATCTCTGTGAGTTCAAGGCTGCAGAGCAAGTTCCAGGACAGGCTCCAAAGCTACACAGAGAAATCCTGTCTCGAAAAACCAAATGTGTGTGTGTGTGTGTGTGTGTGTGTGTGTAAACATCTTTGTCATCTCTGTGAGTTTGAGGCCAGACCAGCCAGAGCTTCATAGAGACCCTATCTCAAACAAACAAACAAACAAATACACATACATACACACACACACACACATTTATAAATAAAGCACTCTTAGATGTACACATACATATACACATATATATATAAAAATAAAGCACTCTTAGATGTATAAACTTAAATATGTATACACGCACATATATTGCATGCACACATACAAGCAGTGTTGGAGTGGAGCTGTGCAACTCAGGGCCTTGCACATGCTAACCAAAAACTGTGCCACTAATCTACAATATCAGCACTAAAAAATTTTGAAATTACAATATTCCTTAGTTATGATAAGAAGCTAAGGGTATTTTTTCCCCAGTGTGTCCAGCAATAATTTTGGGACTCAAATAATAGTAATTATGGTGGTGTTTTGTTTCTTTTTGCAACAATGTCTGTGCAGCTCTGGATAGCTTAGCTGACTTGAACTTGCCTGCCTCTGCCTCTACAGTGCTGGAACTATAGCCCATCCCCTAACAGTACCTGTTTCAACTTAATTCTGATCAACAGTTATTAAATGCTGAGGATTAGCAGTGTAACACGACAGATAACAATCCCTATATTCATGAAACAAAGGAAATAACATGGTATATCAGACAGTAAGTACTGCAGAGGAGACTAAGTGAGATGGCGTGGTGCTTTATACTGTAATCCCCACACTGGGGAGGTCCAAGTAGAAGAGTGACTTCAAGTCTGAGGTCCAGGCTAGCCTGGGATGTATGCTAAGACCCTGTCTCAAACAAGTAAGAATAAACTGGAAAATGGAAGTAGATAGAGTCCTGAGAGGTTCAATTTAAGAAAGGATGGCTCTATAGGATTCATAGATGTGACATGATCTATGTTAAGGGTCATAATTCTTCCAGATTAGTCTAAGGAAACTAGAACTAATCTAGCAACAAATGGGTTTAAAATTATACCCGGCAAGCAGTCTTAATTCCCAGAGCTTAAATTCTTATTGCAGGATAATGGCATTTAATCATTGCTCGATCTCAGTTGCTACCCCTGTCAAGATCAGTCAGGCAGTATATCCTAGTGTACTTTCGCTAAGCTGTTAAAATCCTAGCTCATAGCTGGAGCCCAAAGGTATAGTGGGACAATAGGATTTGTGCTTTATATCTTAGCTTGTATCACTTACTAAGCTGTTAAACTCAGACCCCTCTCTAAGCTCAAAAAGCTCCGCCTTCTAAAGTCTATTAAAGTAATTTCCTCTGTTTTGTGGGTTGTTGTTGGGTCTCCTACCTAACCAAGCCCCATCCCCTAATGGCCAGTATTACAGAAAGGTATTTCTTTTGAAATCGGTTTCCGTATATCCCCCATCAAACCGGGGGGTATTATTTAGACTAAACAGGGCTAGAAAAATGACCCAATAGTTAAGAACACTGGCTACTCCAGCAGAGGATCGGAGCTTAATTCCCAGCACCCATATGGTGATTTACAACCATTTCTAACTCTAGTCCCAAGGGATACAACACCCCCTTTCTCACCTCCACAGGCACCAGGCACACATATGGTTTACATACATAAATACATACAAAACACTCATACACATAAGAACATATATCTTATAAAAATAATCATCAAGATACCTTCCTTGTTCTTCTTAGTCCTTAGTTTAATGTTTGAACATAGTTAGTGATAGGTATATAGTTATCAGTTAAAGTATTGAAGCTAAAATGCTGGATTAATTGACCTGTGGAGAATACCTTGTGAAAAGCCTGCTTGGTGTGGGGGTGTTGTAGCAGGGATGCAAGTATCGTCCAAGCTTGTTATTGACTTCATTATACCTGAATCAACCATCTGAGCATGATTTAACTTTAATATATTTATTCCAATAGCTGTGAAATAGGGTGTATCTTCCCCTTTCTTTTTTTAACTTAGAAAATATTTGTTTGGTTTTTGGGAGGCGGGGTTTCAAGACAGGTTTCCTCTTTATAGCCCTGGCTGTCCTGGAACTCACTCTCTAGACCAGGCTGGCCTCGAACGCAGATATTCACCTGCTCCTGCCTCCTTAAAGGTGTGTGCTACCACACCCAACTATTTATTTTTAATTATGTGTATGTGTTTATGTGGGTATGTGTACATGTCAAAACAGATGCCTTTGATGTCCAGAAGAAAGCATCAAATTTGCTGGAGTTTTAGTTGCAGGTGGTTGTGAACCATGTAGTGTGGGTGCTTGAAACCAAACTTGGGTCCTCTGCAAGAGCAATATGTGCTCTTAACCACTGAACCATCACTCCACCTCTGTTGACAGTCGTTTTTGTCCCACTAGGTCCTGCAGTCGTTCAGTCCCAAAGAAACACACAGAAGTCTACATTAATTATAAACTGGCTGACCTAATAGCTCAGGCTTTTTATTAACTATTACTCATATCTTAAATTAGCCCATAATTCTTGTCTGTGCTAGCCACGTGGCTTGGTACCATTTATCAGTGAGGCAATCTCACCTTGCTTCCTCTTGGTCTGGGTGATGACTGCAGACCGAACCTTTCTTCTACCCAGAATTCTCCTGTTCTGGATGCCTCACCTATACTTCCTGCCTGGCTACCGGCCAATCAGTATTTTATTAAACCAATACAACTAACAAATCTTTACAGGGTACAAGATCATTGTCCCACAACATACCTCCTTTACATTTATTTTTGGTGGTGTTGAGACTGAACTCAAGAGTCTCAAGTATGCCAGGCAATCAATCAGTCTGCTAAGCTAAAAACCCTTCTTTAAGGCAGAACACTGTCTTGAACATTGCTTCCTAACCAAGATTTATTCTGGGTTCCATTAATCATCCAAGAAAATAGTGTATTAATACTATATGATGTTGTTGGAAATGAGGTTGGCATGGTGGCACAGAACTTTAATCCCAGTACTGGAAGCCCAAGGTAGGAAGAACAATAGGAGTTTGAGGCCATACTGGAGTTTCAGGACTGCCTGAGCTACAAAGTGAGAACCTGACAGTCTCAGTCAGTACTACTGCTGTGTAGAGACAACATGACCACTCTTATAAAGGAAAGCATTTTATTGGGGGCTTGCTTACAGTTTCAGAGGTCTAAGTCCATTGTCGTCATGGTGGGGAGCATTGCGAAATGCAGCAGACATAGTGTTGGGAAGTAGCTGAGGGTTCAACTTCTGGATCGGAAGGCAGCAGGAAGAGCAAGAACTACTGGGCCTGATGTAGGTTTTTGAAACCTCAAACCCCACCCCCAGTGACACACTTCCTCCAATAAGGCCACTCCTCCTAATCCTTTCAAATAGTGACACTCCCTAATCATTTAAACACATGAGCCTGTGTAGACTATTCTTACTCAAACCACCACACTGACTCAACAAAACCAAACTAAACATTTGGGTGTGTAGGTACACGCCTGTAATTCTACTGATTGGGTATGTGGAAACAAGATCATCATCTTCCAATATATAGAGGATTCAGAGCCAGCTGCAGCTATATGAGATCCCCTACCTCAGAACACTGTGAAATAAAAAACAAAAGATGACAGGACTTGGTTCAGATTTCATGCTCATTTCACTTACAAGCTCTGAGATCTTGGGCAAGTTGCTTATCTGAGCCTGGATTGTTTTTCATCCATTAAATGGAGACTAACACTGATTGTGGACTGTGGGTGAAAAGATAGAATAGTTTGTTCTTTCCTCACATAATGGCAAACATTAACAATGCTGCACTATAAGACCTGATGAGACCAAGAAGTTAGGACACAGCACTAGGTAGAAGAGATACAATGATGAGTTCCATATGATCCCCAGCACCAAAGAGAGGGGAGGAAAAGGGGAGGGTAGACTGTGAGAGAGGGTCTTATATAGTAGCCTATACGGTCTTAAATTCCCCATGTGGCCAAGTGTTAGTCACTGTTCTATTGCTGTGAAAAGACATCACGATCAAGGTAGTTCTTAAAAAGAAAAGCATTTAATTGGAGGCTTACTTACAGTTTCAGAGGCTTAGTCCATTATCATCATGGCAGGGAGCATGGTGGCCTGCATGGCATTGGAGCAGTAGCTAAAAGCTACATTCTGATCTACAGGCTGCAGGAAAAGTGAGAACTGGGCCTGGCATGAACCCACCCCCTACAGCAACAACACACTTTCTCCAACAAGGCCACACCCTCCTACTCCTTCTCAAATAGTGCTACTCTCTGATGACCATTGGTAGTCAAACCACCACACTGAAGATGACCTTAGAGTCCTAATCCCTAATTCCTAGAATCTCTACTTCTCAAGTGCTGGGATTACAGATGTGTACACCATGCCATGCTTGAGAGAGTTTTGAATACAAAACTTAAAGTATGGAGACTGGAAAGATGACTTCCCAGTTAAAAGTGCTTACTCCTCTTACAGACAACTTGGGTTTGGTTCAGCACCCGTATCGCAGCTCACAGTCATCTGTAACTCCAGTTCCAGGGCATCTGATGCCTCTGTGACCACCTCGGGCTCCTGCATGCATATAATACATATATAAACTTGATATATTTATTGTGTGTGCACATGTGCTCAAGCATGACACTGGACACATGTTGGGAACGGCCAAGGAAAACTTGTGGGAGTCAGTTCTCTTCTTCCCAAGAATCAAACACATGCCATCAAGCTTGCTGGCAAGAGCCTTTACCCACTAAGCCAGCTTGTCAGTCAAAACTTTTATATCTACAGTTCCTAGATGAGGGTATGGGTATGGGAGACACTTTAGAATTAGTTGAATAAATGAATATTGGGGAATGCCTTGAGTTGGCTAGTGGAATCTCCTATAAGCCTACCTTCTCTCCTTTTAACTTGATCCATTAGCCTGTCTCCTCCAGATGGAGCCAGTAAACTATGAACGAGTGAGGGAATACAGTCAGAAAGTCCTAGAACGACAACCTGATAATGCCAAGGCCTTGTATCGGGCTGGAGTAGCCTTCTTCCACCTGCAGGACTATGACCAGGCTCGGCACTACCTGCTGGCTGCTGTCAATAAGCAACCTAAAGGTGAGTGAGAGGAACATTAAGGTGGTGAGCATATATAAAATTGTTCTGTTGTTAGTATAAAGAAATGATCAGTGTTTAAAGAGATGACAGACTAATTGCTGTGCTCTAACATTACACACTGTATATGTCATGTATTGAATTATATCCAGTATTCCTGTTAATATATACAGCTATTACAAATAAACAGAAAAAACTTCTTAAAGAAAAGAAGAAGCCGAGCAATAGTGATGCATGCCTTTAATTTTTAATCCCAGCACTTGGGAGGCAGAGGCAGGCGGATCTTTGTGAGTTCGAGACTAGCCTGGTCTACAAGAGCTAGTTTCAGGACAGGCTCCAAAGCTACAGAGAAACCCTGTTTTGAAAAACCAAAATAAATAAATAAATAAATAAATAAATAAATGAAAAAAGAAAAAGAAGAGGTGGGAATGAATATATATATAGCTTAGTTGACTTAGTAGGTAGGCATGCACAAAGCTCCAGGTTCAATCCCCAGCATTGCATAAAAGCATACATAGTGTTGTACACACCTGTAATCCCAGCACTTGGGAGGTAGAGCTAGAGGATCAGAGTTCAAGGTTAGTGAGTCTGAAGATGATCTGGACTACATGAGATCCTGTCGCAAAGCAAAACTGTTTCATGATCCACCTGCCACTGCCTCCCGAGTGCTGGCATTAAAGGGTGTGCTGCCACCACCTGGCTTCACATTTTTTTTTTTTTTTTATCTTTCAAGACAGTGTTTCTCTGTAGCTTTCTCTTCACCCTCAATTTTTAACTTTTTAAAAAACAGATACTACAAACCAGATAAAAAATCCCAGGAGGGCCTGGTGATGGTGGTGGCGCACTCCTTTAATCCCAGCACTTGGGAGGCAGAGGTAGGTGGATCTCAGTGAGTCTGAGGCCAGCCTGGTCTACAAAAGCTAGTTCTAGGATAGGTTCCAAAGCCACAGAGAAACCCTGTCTAAAACAACCAAAAAACAAACAAACAAACAAAATCCAAGGAGGAAGTGGGGAAGATGGTCATGGGATTCCTAGCTGAGATACATGCCATTAATCCAAGCACTTGGGAAACAGAGGTTGGAGGATCTTTGAGTTTGAAGCCAGCCTGGTCTACAGAATGAGTTCTAGGATAGCCAAGGTTACACAGAGAAACCCTGTCTTGAAAAACCAAAAAAAAAAAAAAAGAAGAAGAAAGAAATTCACAGCCGAGGAGCTATTTGATAGCTGTTGAGGGGAGAGTTAGTTTTCTTTAATGATGTTACCCCCTTGTAGGTCACCCACACTCCAGGGCAGGCACCATTCCCAAGAGTATCTAGGCAACACAAACTAGAGTAGATGGGGTTGGGAAAAGAAGACTAAAGCTTAAACTTGGGTGGGGTGGGAGTTTGAGGGCAGAGAGGAGGGTAGGTGAGTATGACAAAAATGTAAAATTCTCAAAGAATTAATCAAATATTTTTTTTAAAAAATAGATAACAGGGGCTGGAGAGATGGCACAGAGGTTAAGAGCATTGCCTGCTCTTCCAAAGGTCCTGAATTCAATTCCCAGCAACCACATGGTGGCTCACAACCATCTGTAATGGGGTCTGGTGCCCTCTTCTGGCCTGCAGGCATACACACAGACAGAATATTGTACAATAAATAAATAAATAAAATAGATAGCATTCATATATTTAAGAAAGTGAGCTGGGTTGTGGTGGCTCACATCTTTAATCCCAGTACTTGGGAGGCAGAGGCAGGCAGATCTCTGAGTTCAAGAGAGTTCAAGGCCAGCTTGGCCTACAAAGTGAGTTCCAGGACAGCCAGGACTGCTAAAGAAACTTTGTCACAAAAAACAAAAAACAAACAGAATGTGTACAAAAATGTGCACATGAATAACTTTTCCACTTCTGTGGCGTTTTTGATTTTGTTTTTTACTTACTTTGTGTGTTGGGGTGGATGTTTGCAAGCTACAGCAAATGTGGAGTCCAGCCTGTAGAAGCTGCTTCTCTCCTTCCACCATGTGGGTGGCCTGCAGCTGCATCCTTAGTGCCAGCCACTGTGAGGAATGCTAGGATTATAGTTTCTTACCACCTCATCTGCAATACTCTGTCCTTGTTTCTACAGGAACGCAACTATTAGTTCTGTCTTCATCCTTAGGAATATTTAAAGCCCCCCTACCTTTTAAAGAGTATGTTAGTGAATCCCAGTGAATGAACTTGATCATCGTCAGTTGGCCTGCTCTCCAGATAGGAGCTGGCCTTCACTTTAGCCTTATCTTTTAGCTCAGCTAGCTCCAGGTGTGACCTAGAAAAAGAAACCACTGACTGGGAAAATTTCAGATTTGGCACTTTCAGGACAGAAAGAAAACTGTGAAGCAGATGGCAGGTTCATTTCTGTGTTGGTTGGTTTAACACTGAATATTGGTTGTTGTTTTTTTTTGTTGTTGTTGTTTTTGTTTTGGGTTTTTCGAGACAGGGTTTCTCTGTGGTTTTGGAGCCTGTCCTGGAACTAGCTCTTGTAGACCAGGCTGGTCTCGAACTCACAGAGATCCGCCTGCCTCTGCTTCCCTAGTGCTGGGATTAAAGGCGTGCGCCACCACCGCCCGGCAACATTGTTTCTCCCTTTTTTTCTTCTCTTTCTCAAGAGAAGTTACACAGTTTATCTGTGTAAACCTGGCTATCCTGGAACTTGCTCTGTAGACTAGTCTGACCTGCCTCTGCCTCTGTAATGCCGGGATTAAAGGCTTGTGCCACCACTTTCTGGCTTTTTTTTCTTCTTCTTCATTTATTATGTATACAACATTCTGCCTCCATATATGCCCACACACCAGACGAGGATGCCAGACAGAATTGAAGTCACCACCTCCGGAAGAGCAGCCAGTGCTCTTAACCACTGACCCATCTTTCCAGCCCCACCCCCCCTTTCATTCTTAAAGCAGCTATTGGAGGCTAGTAGCAAAGGAACCCCAAACATAACAGTGCAATAAAACTTTTCACTAATTTAAATGAACACTAAAGCCACTATGAAGTAATGAAGGTATATGAGCCATTTGTTTTTGTTTCTGACTTCAGGTATACAGATGAAATGCTACTAAGTGGGCACAGTGGCACACATCTTTAGTCCCAACTATTATGAGAGGCTGAGGCAGGAGGGTCACTTAGCCTGTAAGTTCAAGACCAATCTGGGCAACACAGCAGACCACATCTTTAAAAAAAAAATTCAAAAATAACCAGCCGGAGGTGGCATACGCCTTTAGCTCCAGCATTCTCAGAGGTAGGCAGATTTCTGTGAGTTTGAGGCCAGCCTTGTACACAGAGAGTTTCGGGACAGCCAGGGTTACACAGAGAAACCCTGTCAAGAAAAAAAACAAAACAAACAAACAAAAATTAGAAAAAGGCTGGGGATATAGCCCAACTGGTGGGTTGCTTGTCTGGATCCCCATCAGTGAATAATGCATGCTGGTTCATGACTATAATCCCAACACCTGGGAGGTGGAGGCAGGAGGACTGTGAATTTGACAAACAAACAAACTTAGCTCTGACCTATAGAGATTTTGTTTGTTTATTTAAGTCATAATTTTAAGATGGGTAAATCAGCAAGACTGTCTTCAGGTACAAATCAGATTCAAAGCCAGCATGGGCTACAAGACTTTCAAAAGAAAGAAAAAAAAAATTGTCTGGCAGTGGTGGCACACAGCTTTGGTCCCAGCACTCAGGAGGCAGAGACAGGCAGATCTCTGAGTTCGAAGCCAGCCTAGTCTACAAAATGAGTTTCAGCACAGCCAGGGCTACACAGAGAAACCCTGTTTTGAAGGGAAAAAAAAATGTAATTCACGGTGACATAAATTAAGTAACAGAAGTTATTATTCCATGGAGTAATTGTGATACATTCAGATTCAGATTTTGGGGAACTAGAGTAACTGGGAGTGTTACCAGTGCTCTCTGGTCCACTGGGTCATTGTGGTGTCTGTAATTGCCTTTTTTCTTTGTTGTCTCTGAAGATGCCAATGTCCGGCGATACCTCCAGTTGACACAATCAGAACTCAGCAGCTACCACAGGAAAGAGAAGCAGCTATATCTGGGCATGTTTGGTTAATGAAGAAAAAAGATGCTTCTCTACTTGAGCTCAAGTGGACCACTAAAGACCCGTCAAGAGAGACCTGAACCTCAGCAAGAGAAACTCACCCTTAACCTCTGACCCAGGTGGATTTCTATTTTCCTGTTCTGCACAAGCTCTCTGCTACTTAGGCCGTCTGCATTCCTTATTGTCTATCCCTCAGTGTGGCTGGCAATCCATATTATTTGCCTTGAGAAATCGACTAGAAAGCATTCATCCACTGTGGATGCAATCAACTATATTTGTGATGTAGATAAAATGAGATGGTATTAGATGTGTTCAGATACAGAGGAGAAGGCCAGTGAAGGATAAAATAATAAGGACAGGCAGAAAGGAATCTTTTACTGTTTCCTCAGATGCCTTTGTTTTTCCCAGTGGGAAATATATATAATTTGTGAAACTAGATAAATATAAATTGAGCCCAAGTATATGTACATTTACATTAAAGATTTGAAATTAATCATTTTGGGGCTAGGATGTAGCTCAGTGGTAGAATGCTTGCCTGGCATGTACAAGGTCCTGGGTTTGATTCCCCAGTGTTGCAGAAATAAACTAAACAACAAAATCCAACTTTTATTTAAATTAATCTCTCTTTTGTTTGTTTGTTGTCAAGATAGGGTTTCTCTGTGTAGCCTTGACTATCCTGGAACTATCTCTGTGGACCAGGCTGGACCCAAACTCACAAAACCCGCCTGCCTCTGCCTCGCGAGTGCTGGAATTAAAGGTGTGCACCACGACTGCCTGACTCTTTAATTTTTTTTCTCCCAGTAATTTCTAGTCCTTGATATTGCTTATATTCAGATCATTAATATAGTATAACTTATTTATTTGTCTTTATTCTGTTTTAAAGCTTCTGAAGTAAATGCTTGGAATACATGAAACCCTGTTTTTTAAAAACAATGTTTCTGGGAGTCAAGCACGTAAATAGTTAAGTATCTAATAACTCTCTGTCCTCCTGCCGAAAAGGAACCCACGTGCTAGTGAGCTTTTTATGGGTCTGTATGTATGTGTGGGGCTGGAGTTTGAACCTATCTTGCACGTGCTAGGCAAGCACCCTATCATTGAGCTACATAGTCAGCCTCAAAGTGGTTTTGTTTCTGTTTGTATTTTGGACAAGGTGTCTCTGTGTAGCCCTGCCTGTCCGTGTTTTAATTTTAATAGGTGCATTTCTAAAGTGTGTCCATTTTTCTCAGAAGCGTTACAGTGTCTTCTTGAAAGAATATCATAATAAAGCATGACAGAACCCAAGTCTCCTCTTCATCTGTCGCTCTTATTTTGTAAGAGCTCAGGACCTCTCAGAGAAAAGAAACCACAAGGAAAGACGGTTATTGCTTAGTCTTGGAATTCTGATAGGACCTGGGAAGCTGCTGTGCTCGTGGGTGCAGGGTGCAGACCTAGTGCAGTCCTGCCTCTGTGGCATCCATCAGCCAATGGCTGCCCTGTCATTCTGTTTACTCTGTGGATTGTGTCTATATTATGGGTGCCAATTAGTAGCTAAAACCATGTAGTAGGTCTCTACCATTAAAAGTGGAGATAATAAGCATGTGGTATTCATTAGCCATCATGTAATCATTAAACAAATATGATTCTTGGGGTGGGGTCAGTCTGCTTTATTAATAACACCCCAAACTCTCCCAATGCGCTACTCTTCTTTGTTCCTCCCTATAGTTTAAATAATACATGCATCAAAGTACAGCAAAAGGCTTACTATCAAATAATCTAAAAAATCCAAGGCAAGAACTAAGTAAAGTAGAATATTTTCTTTATTTAAACTTCTTAAACTGTTAAACCTAGCATTTGCCTGTCATCTCAGCACTCAGGCTGAGGCAGGAGGATTGCTATGAGGCTATATACTGAATTTCAGACTAGATTGGGTTCCCTAACAAGATCATGTCTTTTTGTTTTGTTTTGTTTTGTTTTTTGAGACAGGGTTTCTCTGTGGCTGTGGAGCCTGTCCTGGAACTAGCTCTTGTAGACCAGGGTGGCCTCAAACTCACAGAGATCCACCTGCCTCTGCCTCCTGAGTGCTGGGATTAAAGGCGTGTGCCACCACAGCCTGGCCAAGATTATGTCTTAAAAACTCAAAAATAGATGGAAAAAATTCCTATATTGGTTTGGCAACATTTTGTCATGGCGAATCCTGTCACATTTGGTTGGCCAGAGGGCCTTATCTTTGAAGTTTTCTCTGAGTAAATTTCCATTTAAAAATCTTAACACTACCCCTCAATTATAAATATCCATATCCACTTGTCTTTTTGGAGTCAGTTAGGTCCAATCTGTGTCTAAAAGTTAATTTTAAAATCTTTATCATCTTGCATGTTTCACTTTTTGTTTCGTTTTTCAAGACAAGGTTTCTCTACATAGTGCCGACAATTCTAGAACTCACTCTGTAGACCAGGCTGCCCTTGAACTCCCAGAGACCCACCGCCTCTGTCCCCAAGTGCTCTAATCCTGGCACATGTTTCACTCCTTTGGAGCTGGTTTTACTTCTTGGTTGTTCTGTAAAAATTAGATATTCAAGGAAGCTGTCTACTACATTTTGAGGAAAAATAAAACTGATATTCACAAATACATCTTAGAAATTTATTTTGCTGATCATTTTCTTAGCCTTCTAAGAGGTGATACCAACATGGTAGTCAGACGTATATGGCAGTTAACAGAGACTTTAAGAAACAGAACAGTAGACAGAGGAAAGTAGCCTGACACAGGTCTGACAAGCCTACATCTTGGTCAGCCACAGTGAATCCCTAAATATCTGTTCAGGAGAGGAAGAGGCTGTAAGCATTCCCAACAAGATCTGGAGAGAGGAGCTTTGTGATGTATTTGAAGATCACAGAAGGCAGTTTGACAAGTATTTCCCACATTGAGACCTACCAGTTCCATAGATTTGCCTCAAGTTCTATTTACACATTACCTGTATTAGTGTTTAGTCAATATGTGAGGGTTAAGGGTGTAGTTTTGTGGGAGAGCTCTTGGCTAGCACTGTCCCAAAATGATTTTAATGTCTTTGTAGCCTTTGCTGCCCTTGACATCATGGCAATCCTCCTGTGGTCAGCCTCCCAGGTGCTAAGATTACAGACATGAGCCAGCACACCAGCTATATTCTGTACATTCTTAAGTTGCCCAGGCTAGCCTAGTCTACTGAGCCCGTGAGCCTTCTGCCTGAGCTAGAACTACTAGTGCCACACTAGTCTGTAAAAATGGAGGTGAATTTACTTACTCATGAATTCTTTTTCCTTCTCTGTGTGGGCTAGGCGTGGAAACTCGGGGCACATACTCTCCCACTGAATCACACCCCGGCCCACTGACTCGTCAGTTAAGTACTGGCTGGAGCAAGGCTGACTTGATTAGCCCAGGAGTGACTGTTACTCACACAGTTTAGAGAATCTGTGTCAGTTCCATAAGGGCTTTGTTCCTTACTTTGAGGAACTGATATTCTAAGGCAACTTATTTTTTCAGCTCCCCCTACTTCTTTAAATGAGAAATCAAAAGCTATAAAATCCACCCTTTTGAAGGGAACTGGTTCTCACAGGCTTTGATGTTTACAGTAGGAAAGACTGGAAAAGGTGCTACACTCATCTAGAATGGCTTTTACTATTTTTATTCATATTTTGCCCTTTCTTGGAGAAATTAAGGCAGTAATACATTAGCATAAATAAAATTGGAACATAGTTATTCTAATATAAGGAATGTTAGCTGAACCTTGTAGTGATATTTCATTTGTATTTTAATAAATAAAGCTTGCCTGAAGATCAGAGAGTAAAACAGCCCCACTGATCAGCCTTACAGATGAGGCAGTGGTGATACACACCTTTAATCCCAGTAGCCACACTAGTTTGCCAAACCGGTGATAATAGTGCACGCCTTTAATTCCAGCCCTAGAGAGGAATAAGGTGGGAGGAGACAGCTCTCAGACACAGTCCCATTCTGAGATTCCTAGAGGCAGGATCGCCATTTCAGACTGAGGTAGAGCTAAGTGGCTGGCTGTTTTGCTTTTCTGACCTTCAGGTTGAACCCCAATTTCTGTCTCTGGGTTTTTATTAGTCCTGCTACAGGACCTGGTTGTACATCTAGTACTGATAAGGCTAAGGCGGAAGATCTAGAATTTCAGGCTAGCCTGTTGTACATAGCAAGACCCCGTCTCAAAAGACCAAAGAGGTAGGCATAGTGGTATATGCCTAAAACATCAGACCTTTGGGTTAGAGGCACGTGTACCTGGAAGGAGGGCAAGGCCATCCTCAGCTACTTAGCAAGTTCAGGGCCAGACAGGGCTATAAGAGACCCTGTCTCCAAAAATGGAAGGCAGGAAGAAAGGAATGGAGGAAGGATCCAAAGAGGGAGGAAAAGGAGTGTGACATGTATACAAGTTCTTCATTATGGTGAAGATGGGGTCTTGCTTTTTCTCTCAGATTAGCTTCCTCCAACTGCTGAGTAGCTAGGACTATAGGAAGCTGCCACTGTAGTTGTACTCAGCTTTAGAATTTTCTCAGCAACAAAACAAAAAAAAAAATCAACTCTTGCTTCCCATGATGCCTCACCAAGGGAGCTTCCTTTGGCCAAATCGTCACTGTTAGCTCAGTCTCCTATCTCAAAACCAGCAGTAGCTTAGTTGGAACAACTTACAGCCCTGCGTGTGACCCCAGAGGAGGCTAAAGAAGTCAAGAAAGCCTGCTTTTATCTTGGCCTTTTTTCAGTTTTGCTTCCTGTTTGATTTGCACTTAGGTCCTTGTGTGCCAGGAGAGGGTGTTTGTAGGGCACCTGGCTAGTTCACTCTACAGCTCCACTCTCCACAGCCTGGAAAGTTACTTCATTTACATTGTGAGCTTTCCCCACATCCTATCTCAACACTTTAAACTCTCATTTTTTACTACCGCTAGTGCCAGTAACTCCCTATATAACTTTAGTGAGTGCTTTAAGCTTTTTAGACAGCTGTTGTTCCAATTTTACTTCTTTTCGGAGTGCTAGGGATCAGATCCCAAGGTCTCAGGCTATGTAAACCATCAGTCCCCACAATTTTACTTCTTTTCGGAGTGCTAGGGATCCAGATCCCAAGGTCTCAGGCTAGGTAAACCATCAGTCCCCACAATTTTACTTCTTTTCGGAGTGCTAGGGATCAGATCCCAAGGTCTCAGGCTATGTAAACCATCAGTCCCCACAATTTTACTTCTTTTCGGAGTGCTAGGGATCAGATCCCAAGGTCTCAGGCTATGTAAACCATCAGTCCCCACAATTTTACTTCTTTTCGGAGTGCTAGGGATCCAGATCCCAAGGTCTCAGGCTAGGTAAACCATCAGTCCCCAGCCCCACATTTGGAAGTAAGGGTCCAAGCTTAGAGGACTATAAAATCCTCATGGGATTTCCTGCCTTAGCTTTCCCAAGCAGCTGTCATTTCAATATTTCCTCAGGTTCTCAGCCCCCGTAAACAACCCTCTCCATGGGCACACAGTTTTCTCTCACCAGTTTCTCATCTTCAGAGACCTCAATTCAAATTGACAAAAAGGCAGAAATTTCAAGTTTATCAATACGTCTATTGTCAAAACACACAACCAAAGATCTTTCTAGGTCCAATGCAGAGGACACAGGTAAGGGAACAAAGCCACACACTCAAAAGAATAAAAAAAACAACTTCTGGAGCTGGAGGATGGATCACCTGTTGTTCTTCAAGAGGACCCAGGTTCAATCCCCAGCACCCACATGTGGTTCACAACCGTCCATAACGCTAGTTCCAGAGGATCTGATGCCCTCTTGTAGCCTCAGCAGATAACAGCCATGCATGTGTGGTACAAAGACATACATGTAGCCAAAAGCCCGTACACATAAAATAAATTTTGTTTTTTGAAACAGGGTTTCTCTGTGTAGTCCTGGCTGTCCAGGAACTCAGAGAACTGCCTCTGCTTCCCAGTCTTGGGATTAAAGGCATAAGCTACCACCTCATGGCAAATAAATAAATCTTCAAATAAAGAAAGAAAAAACCGGGGGGAGGGGGATGGAGGGAGGGGAAGGGAAATGAGAGGAGGTGGAAATTTTTAAGTAAAAATAAAAAAAAATAAAAATAAAAAAAGAAAGAAAAACCTTCTAGTTGTTGGCTAACTATTTGCCTTGAACATTATTTTGAAAATGTATGGTTTTATCATGAATTTTATCTGGAGTCACAAGCCAAGTTCAAATTCTAGCTTTCTCCTTAACCAGCTCAATGACCCTGAATAAATGAGTCCTGAGTCTCAAGTTTCTTTGCATCTGAAGCAGAAGAGCCTAAAGAGTTGTCAGGGATTAAAAATGAGTGTATGAAGTACCCAATAGAGCCCAGAACACAAGTTCAACTGTAGTAAAGCATGTGTGAGATTCCCTATTTGTACCTTCCCTGTTAAGTCTATGCTGCCCTCTGCGTTTCACTTTTTGCCTCATAAGCAGTCACATGCTTACCCAATGCAGTTGTCAAATAAAAGACCTAGAGGGCAGACATGAACCCATCGGACTTGTGGAAGGAACCAGCTAACACCGGTTCAAAGGGATAATTTCACGGCTAGTTTTATGTTCCAGAATGTGGGATGAGACGCACCTCAGGAAAATTCCCAGTGCCTTGGAGTGTTGTGGCTGACCTGCTTTGCCCCATGTCCTACTTATCTGGCTTGACAAAGAGATGGGTAGACACCTTCAGCTTGAGAAGAACCTTCATTCTGCCACCCTGTAGTAATGATGGGATGCCTCCAACTTCCTCTGTAGCCATCTAACAGTAGTAAGCGCAGGCCTGGCATCAGCTCATGCTCCCCAGATGTTAATTTTTGGGACCAAGTACAAAATCTTTGGGTGCTACTCCACCACCACTGCTCTGTCTCTCTGTTGTCTGGGAGCCAGAGAGGGGATGCACCCCAAGATTGGAGCTGGCCTCCGGGTCTGGTTTGCTGCGTTTGGCCAGGTCCTCATTATGAGCCTTGCGGATGTGGCGGTAGAGATCCCCTGACTGTGTATAGCTACGTAGGCAATAGCGGCATTCATAGGGTCGCTCTCGTGTATGCACTGTGGCATGTCTCCGTAATGTATAAGAACATGAGAAGGTCTTTCCACATGTCTTACAGGTGGGAACATCCTCTGTAAAACCCCCAAAGCTCCCTGGAGCTACTTCATACTCAGAAGGAGGGTAGAGTGGCTCATGCAGGGCTGGTGGTGCAGGCAGGGGTGAGGTCACCAGTCCCCGATGATACTGCCCAGGACCAGGCAGCAGATGGTATGGAAGATGAGGTTCTGGAGGCAGGAAGTGGTCACCTGGCCCCACCTCCTCTAGTCCTGTTGCCCCTGGCTCCTCAAAAGTGTCTGGCTGTGAAGACTGTCCCCCATGTCCCCCATACATTGCACCTCCAGATGTGAACAGCCCTTCAGGTCCCTGAGGCTGTTCCTCGGACAAGTCAGTCTCCTCATCAGAGATGACAATAGCTTCTACTTTCACCTGCACCAGTTCAGCTTCAACTGGGGCTGGAGCTGGGGGTGGGGCTGGAGCTGGAGTATAGAAGCCTTGCAATGGTCCTCCAGTATCCCTTGGTTCCACCACCCTCAGACTCTCAGGAACCACATCTAGAGGAGTCAAGGGCTCCACGGAAACTGCTGGAAGGCCAGAAGAGAAGTAGTTTACAGGAATGGTCTCTGTAGAGCTACTGGGGCTGGCAAGAGAGACAGAGACATCAGCCACTTGTGGGGGAGGTGCCCGCAGATGTGGTGGGTCGACTTCCATGCTTGGTTGTGTAGTGTCAGCGCCACCGGACACTGGCGGCTCATCTGCAGAATGAGCAATAGGTAAGGGAGTGGCTGGACCCTTCCATTCCTCTTTGCTCCAGCGGGCTGACGGCTCAACAGATGCCAGTAAAGGCTGGGGGCCACGAGAACTGCCTGACAAAAACTCCATACTAGCAGGATTGCTTTCCTCTTCCTTCTTGGTACTGTCTGCCTCCGCCAGAGCCCGGGCTTGCAAGCGCTGTTTACACACCTTAACGATGTCATTCATGTGCAGGTAGCTAGCTGCAGCCAGCACATCTTCTAGAGGGGTATCTCCCCTAAGGGCCAGCTGGCCAGCATACATGAAGTCCAGAAGCAACCCAAAGGCTGGGGCCGTGACAATTTCATTGTGAATACACACCAGATCCCTCTTGTCCAATTCTCGCTCCTTGTAGAAAAGCTGAAAGAATGGGCTGCAGGAAGCCAGCACAGCCCGATGGGCCAGGAACTGGGTGCTACCAACCATCACAGTACAGTCACAAAGGAAACCCTGGGACCGTTGCTCCCGCAGGCTCTGAAGCAGCTGCTGACTGTGTTCTGGGAACTCCATAGCACCCCAAGAAGGGGAAGGGTGCCCAAGAAAGTTCCCCAACAGTAGTTCCCCTGCAAAAATAAGTCTGAGTTAGGTCAGGTAATTTCCACAGCAACCTCCACTTCAGCCCTTAACTAGGGCTTACCACCCAAGGCCTCTGGCAACACATCCCACACCCCCAACCATGTTTCAGTTAAATGCCTATCTTTCTCCCAGGTCACACCCAAAGACCTGTTGGCTCCGCCCCCTAGACCTAACCTTAAGGATCGTCCCCGCCCCTATTCGAAAAAAAAGCCCTGCCCCCGGAAGTCCCGCCCCTAACTAGCCTCTGCTTCCTCGGTCCCAGACGATGCCTTCCAGTGACTCCTTCAACTAGGACTGTCTTTCGCGCCCAAGCTTTCCAGGGCGATGCCTTCACGCCCCGGTTCCGGAACTTCCTGCGCTTCTTCCTCTCACATTCCAAGGATAAGGACTCCGAGCGTAGGAACTAGCAGAGAAAGATGAGCCCTCATCCACAACCTAGCAGCCACCAGGAAAGCTCCGCCCCTTCCCACCTTCGCTGTCCTAATTGGCTTCAGCTTGCCCTCTCCCATCGTGGATTGGCTCACCGTCCACTACCCCGCCCCTCGGTAACCGTCTTCTCCAAATGGGTAGTATCTGCCATCGTTCAGGCATCAAGGCTCCCGATTGGTTGTTGCTCCCGTCCTAAACTTTTTCTTCCTCATCCCGCCTTCTTTGCCTCAGACCCCTCAGGATTGGCTGAATTTCTTCACTTACCTGTTTTCCCTAGGGAGATTACGCGCCTGGATGGGGTATCAAGTTAGCATCTGCGCAGTGTGTCTGCGCGTTCCTGCGGCAGAGTTCTTAGGAGACACAGTGTGTAATGTGTAGGCTCTGCCGAAAACAGTAAGCTACACTTCTCAAAAGTGCAGTTCACTCTTGTGAACTTCTTCAAAAATTCCGGCATGCCCCACTTAGTTCCAGGCTCAGCGGTGGTGTCAGAGAATGACCACTTCCCAAGCGCCAGTGGACAGGAGTGGGCCAGAGTTTAAAAATGTCTTGGTTGTTAGAAATCTCTTCTCAACAGTTCCAATGATAAACCAAGGTACTAGACCACCAAAGCTCACCTTTGGGCTCCGGTGAATTTATTGGATTTACAGAGCATAGGTAAGGGGTTACAAGAGAATGAATGAGTCACCCTAGAAAGCCCTGCTGGAAAGTGTTTACCTAGCATAAATGATAACTTTCCTTACAGCCTCATAGACAGAGCCTCCTCCCCAGTCATCCTACACCTACATATTTTAGCGCCTCCTAGAGATTCCGGGCCCTGTGCAATTAGAATTGTATACAACTGGTTGAGGGGAGTAGCTGGATACTCAGGTGAGGTCCCATGACTGTCCACAACTCCTCCTATAAGGGAAAGTCAATAGTCAGCAAGCCCAACTGAGATGATCTGCCTGCAGACCTAGCCAGAGTCCTGAAGAGGATGGCAGTTTGGCTGAGGATAGTCCTGTATGGGCACATAACCCACATGTTATGGTGCATGTCTGCAATACCAGCATTCAGGAGACAGAAGACAGCATCCGATTTTCAAGGCAGCCCAAACTACATAGTTCCAGGACTGCCTGGACGACATAAAATCCAGGTGTAGATGGTAATGCACTTTTAATCCCAGCACCTGGGAAGCAGAGGCTGTGAGTTAAAAGCCAGCCTGGTCAATATAGTGACTTCCAGGCAGGCCTGAGCTGCACAGTGAGCCCCTCAAAAAAACAAATAAATAAATAAATAAATAAAATAGTCCCAAGACTGGAGGGTTTTCTTCCTCCCTTCCTTCCTTTCTGCCTGCCTTTTTTCTTTCTTTCTCTCTCTCTTTCTTTTTTTTCTTTCCTTTTTTCTTTTTCTTTCTTTCTTTTTTTTTTTTTTTTTTCGAGACAGGGTTTCTCTGTAGCTTTGGAGCCTGTTCTGGAACTAGCTCTTGTAGACCAGGCTGGTCTCAAACCAGCTGGGATTAAAGGTGTGTGCCACCACTGCCTGGCTTCTCTCTTTCTTTTGTGATTTTCTTCCTTCCTTCCTTCCTTTCCTCCCTCTCTTTTTTCTTTTTTCTTTTTCAGTGTAGCTACTTTTGTGATTGAAAAGGATGTGCTCATGTAGCCCAAGTTGACTCAGGACTTGGTGTGCCGCTACCTCACCTGATGGAACTGTAGGCAGGTACTGTCACAGCTGTCAAAGATGGCTACTACTGAAGAACTCTCCCCCCCATACACACAACTTTTTTCCTTTTTTTTTTTTAAGACAGGGCCTCACTTAGCACTGACTGTCCTCATATGTGATATTGTAGCCAGATCTGCATTCCTAATCTTTCTAGTTTCCAAATCTGGGATTACAGGTGTTCACTTGTATAAATTTTTAAGAGTCCCAAGATTCGCAGAGGGAAGGGCTGTAGAGTAGAATGATTCCTGTCCCTATTGCATAAGGTTTTCAGGAGTGTGTCAGTATCCTGTCACTCCACACCAAGCACCCCTTAGTGACATGTAGTCCTAGGCCTTCAGAAGCAAAGACAGGAGAATGGTCAAAAGCTGAGGGCAAGCCTAGTTTATAAAGCAAACCAGCTGGGCGGTGGTGGCCTTTAATCCCAGCACTCAGGAGGCAGAGGCAGAAGGATCCCTGTGATTGTTCAAGACCAGTCTGGTCTACAGAGCAAGTTCCAGGACATCCAAGGCTATACCAAGAAATCCTGTCTCAAAAAACCAGCTACAAACAAAGCAAATCTCAGGCCACCCATGGCTACATAATAATACCCTCTCCCTCAAAAAGAAAGACAGTAACTCCAAGGCATGCCTACTGTCCTAGAACCCAAAGATCCATCTTTTTCTGCTTCTTGAATGCTGGGATTAAAGGTGTGGACCACCAACACCCTGAGAGTAATCTTAATCTCTCACTTTTGCTTTTTCTCTTGCTGGGAATTGAACACAGGGTCTCCCTCCGTTGCTCATACAAAACATGCCCTCTGCCACTGGTGTGTAGCAGTTTCCTCTTAGGAAACATTCTGCCTTGGAGAGAGGTTCATTGAGGCTGAGGCTGGCAAAAACAGAACTCCTCAACCTGTGGGTTGAGAGCCCTGTGGGCACAAATGACTCTTTCATAAAAGTTACATGACAGATATCTTTTTCTTTAAAGTTGGGTTCCTGTTTGTGTGTGCAGTGCTGAGTTTCTCACGGGTGACTTTATTTTTTATTTTTGGTTTTGGTTCCTTACCTGGGCAAAAGTAGATGTTTGTTCAGGACTCCCCTGAAATAATGTCTTACAACAGTCACTGAGCTACAGTTGCAAAGGCACAATATCTTTTGTTTATTTGTTTGTTTTGGTTTTTCTTTTTTTTTGTTTGTTTTTGTTTTTCGAGACAGGGTTTTTCGGTGGTTTTGGAGCCTGTCCTGGAACTAGCTCCTGTAGACCAGGCTGGTCTCGAACTCACAGAGATCCACCTGTCTCTGCCTCCCGAGTGCTGGGATTAAAGGCATGCGCCACCATCGCCCAGCTGCAAATTTTCTTAATATCTGTCATAAAAGCTAGGCGTCATGGCATGTGCTTTTAAGCTCAGCACTCAGGAAGGAGAGGTAAGCAGATTGCCGAGTTCAAACCCAGCATGGTCCAGACCAGTCAGGGCTACGATAGAGACCCTGTCTCAAACAAACAAACAACAACAAAAAGATAGCTAGATTCTTACATCTGTTTCTGAGCTATTATGGGTTATTGTTTGGACTGGAGCATGTAAAGAAAACCCAATCTCACAGATAGGCAGCTGGAAGAGGAGTCCCCAAGATCATGAATGTTTCTTCCTCCACACCACACTTGGAGAACTGTTCTAAGCTCTGAGATTCCATCTACGTTTTTCAGAGGAGACATGATGGTCTGCTAATGTTCTGGATTTTTTTTTTTAAAGATTTATTTATTTATTATGTATACAATATTCCTTCCATGTATGTTTGTATGCCAGAAGAGGGCACCAGATCTCATTATAGATGGTTGTGAGCCACCATGTGGTTGCTGGGAATTGAACTCAGGACCTCTGGAAGAGCAATCAGTGCTCTTAACCTCTGAGCCATCTCTCCAGCCCTAATGTTCTGGATTTTTTGGTCAGATTAAATCTGAAGTAGAATATATATTAATCAAGAACACAGCTTTGGAACAGATCAGTTGTTCATAATCTGAACACTCAATCCGGTGTACAAAGCAGGTTCCAGGACAATCAGAGTTGTTACACAGAGAAACTCCTATCTCAAAACAAACAAGGAAATAAAGCAGTCTTCAAAAATATTTGCTCAACAAAAGCATTTTGCCTTTTTTTTTTTTTTTTTGATTTTCGAGACAGGGTTTCTCCGCAGCTTTTTGGTTCCTGTCCTGGAATTAGCTCTTGTAGACCAGGCGGGCCTCGAACTCACAGAGATCCGCCTGCCTCTGCCTCCCGATTGCTGGGGTTAAAGGCGTGCGCCACCACCGCCCGGCTTGGTAGGGTTTTTCTGTGTAGCTCTGGCTGTCCTGGACCTTTTGCTTTTCTATGCACTTTGTTTCAGCTTTCTTTAACAATTAACTCTTTTGCTGGGCGATGGTGGCGCACGCCTTTAATCCCAGCACTCGGGAGGCAGAGGCAGCAGGATCTCTGTGAGTTCAAGACCAGCCTGGTCTACAAGAGCTAGTTCCAGGACAGGCTCCAAAGCCACAGAGAAACCCTGTCTCGAAAAACCAAAAAAAAAAAAAAAAAAAAAAAACCCAGTTAACTCTTTTTTAGTTTTTGTTTTATGAGAAAGGGTTTACACACACAGCCCTGGTTTTCCTAGAACTCACTATGTAACACTAGGGTAGCCTCGAACTCACAGAGACTTGTCTGCCTCTGCTGGGTTTAAGGGGGTGCGGCATCAAGCCAGGCCTATAGTAAACTATCTTTTTGTTTGTTTGTTTGGTTTGGTTTGATTTTTCGGTAGAGTTTCTCTGTGTAGTCGTAGCTGTCCTGGAACTTGCTTTATGTAAGGGGGAAGTCTGAGCGCCAAATGAGCAGGCTTGAGGGGCGGGGCTTCGTGGATCCGCCCATGACGTTAGGCTTCAGCAGCGCCGCGGAAGTGGCTTCGACACATCTGCAAGTGTTTCCGGTGAGGCTGCTGCCTGCTGAGTTCGTGGCTCTGAGCTCCAAACTTCTGCAGAAAATGTTTTATCACGTGAGTCGGACGCGGGGTGGCGGCGAGGGCCGGGGCAGGAGGAGCCAGGAGACCGGGAAGGGCTGACTAGTTTCCCCATATTCTCAATGCGGCTGACTGAATCTCCATCCCACTTTGTCTGCAGATTTCCCTAGAGCACGAGATTCTGCTGCACCCACGCTACTTCGGTCCCAACTTACTTAACACGGTGAAGCAGAAGCTCTTCACCGAGGTGGAGGGGACCTGCACTGGGAAGTAAGTTACAATGACCCTAGCCTGGA